AATCTTCCATCTTTACTATGTACTCTGTAACATATCTTCTTGTATTTGGGCAAGCTGCCCAGTTGAATCACAGAAGGCTGTGATTTGTTCCAAGGGTCCCCTTTTCAGCATCACTTCTCTTCCTGGACACCCCTTAATGTATCTTACAACTCTCAATGTTGCCTCTAGGTGGGAATGTTTTGGATGTTGCATAAATTGACTTAGCATCTGAACAACAAAGCATATGTCTGGTCTAGTTATAGTAAGATGTATTAGTTTTCCTATAAGCTTTTGGTATCCAGCTACATCATGTAATTAAGTTTTGGAAGTATGTTTATGTTCTCGCCACGCACGTGTGAAAAATCATCCCACCTTGTCTTGCCACATGGGCAAACCTGATATATATAGACTGCCTTGTCTCGCTACATGTGCAATATTAACAATAACAATAGTACGACAGAAACCTCGTGCATACACTCAAATAATCCGGCCAACAAGACCATATGTTCCATAATCACAACAACTCACATGCCAATAACTGTCATCAAGACATAAAATCACAATCTGCCAACACAATGCACAAGGACGACCAGTAAAGGAAATACAGATGGGCGTTCAACATATAAGCATGAATTCAGCTAACTCAATTTAGCAACAATCTCACAAACGCCCAAATTGGCCAAATTAGGAAATGCAAATTCTAAAACATGATCTCTATTATGGAACATGAACTCAGGTAGTCTTCCAAAAAGGAAACACGTAGTGCAAATATCCCTTAATCAAAACAAGACAATAAGAATAACCTCAAGTCAAATCCAAACATAAATCACACATATGGCCATGTACTCACTTGTCACCTCGTGTACACTCCATTTCACACATATTACAGATAAGCAATTAAGACAAATCCTAAACGGTAAGTCCCCCACATAAGGTTAGGCAAGATACTTACATCACAAGCCCTCAATCAATACTTTAAAAATGCTTTTCCTTTAAAATTCACCTCCGCTCGGCTCAAATCTAACCAAAAATAACTTAAAAATATCCAACAATGCAAGAGAAACCAATCGACTAATAAAGTTAAATAACAAGAATCTATCCTCAAAACTCAAGAATTTAACTTGAAAACTCATTTTTCACAATCTTTTACTTAATGCGCCGAACTGCGCTCGGGTCACCCCAGACCCCAACAAAACGTGCGTACAAGTCCAAAAATACTATACGAACTTACGAGAATCGTCAAAACACCAATATGAGGCCATTTACCAAAAATATTTTTCGTGGTCAACTCTAACTTCATTTTAAGTCAAAAAATTAAATTTTTTTAAAAATCACATAAAAGCTTTTCGAAAAGAGACATAGACCACACACGCAAATGAATAAACATTAAATGAAGCCTGGAGTCGCAGAACACCATCCTCACCGATAGTAACCTCCTTGGCACCACCCTGTAGTACCGTCCCTCTAAGAACTAACAAGTGCGGATCATCAAATTGACGAGCCTTGATCTGCTCGGATAATGAAGACTGAGCGGCGACGCACGACTGGGCTCTGAAATATCCAACCTTACAAATCTATTAGCCAAGGACTGAATGTACAAAAGCTAATGGCCTCTCCCCTGCTTAAATTAATCCCAAACTACCCATACTCTCTGCCTTTCTGCTCAGAGCATCCGCAACTACATTCGCCTTGCCTGGATGATAAAGGATCGTAATATCATAATCCTTTAGTAACTCAAGCTACATGCGCTTCGTCAAATTGATATCCCTCTGGTTGAACAAATGCTGCAAGCTCCGATGATCGGCCTAAACCTCACAGGACACCCCATAAAGATAATACCTCTAGATCTTAAGAGCATGAACAATCGCGGCCAACTCCAAATCATGTACATGGTAATTCTTCACATGGGGCTTCAGTTGACGTGAAGCACATGCAATAACTCGCCCCTCCTACATCATTACACAACCCAAACCAACGCGTGCAGCGTCGCAATACACAATATACATCCCTGAACCGAAAGGCAACACTAACACTGGTGCTGAAGTCAAGGCGGTCTTGAGCTTCTGAAAGCTCGCTCATAATCATCGGACCATCGGAATAGAGCACCCTTTTTGGTCAATCTAGTCAAAGATGGTGCAATAGATGAGAAGCCTTCCACAAACAACCGATAATAACTTGCTAACTCCAAGAAGCTCCTGATCTAACTCGCTGGGGTAGGACGGTAAAGATAGAAATATCTGAATGAGAACTTCAAGGTCTGCGGACGACATTGCATCTACCTCGTAGTCTCACAAAAAGCTATTAACAACTCAAGTCTGAAAATCACCTCGACCAGATGTACCTGGATCTACACACGAAGTGCTGAGTGTAGTATAAGTACAATCGACCCCATGTACTCAATAAGTAACAACACTATTCTTGGGCTGAAAACATTGACGAGCTCTGAAATAAAAGTCAGATGCCAATATCAATAACCAGTAACAATTTAGAATATAAATGGAAAATGAGTAGAGACAGGTAGCTCAAGATTATTATGTTCAACTTGTTCACATTACATGAATTTAAGCATGCTTTCAAGTCTAACGGTTAAAGCCCAACATAGGTAAAGCATTTCATTTATCAATTACCACGAGGAAAGTACATCTATATGCCTACATGTCAAGTATATATGTCAAATCAAAATATCATAGTAGATCCATCAAATATTCACACTTAGCATTGTACGGGTGCCTGACATATCTGCCCATCATCAAGTACGTGTATAAAACACTATACCTGCGCCCATTGTTGGTATGTTAGACTCCAAAGTGGCGGTACTCGCCCAAGTGCTAGTTATAATCATTTAGCCTAATACTAAGCGTTGGTGCACGCGTCACCCTAAAAAAATAGATCTTAGCCCAATATGGGCCTGGCATACGCATCACCTCAGAATCAATACCAAACCAGCTATATGGCCCAAACTCAATCATTTACAGTACAATTCTCAAATAAACACACCTTACAATATTTAGTTTAATTATTTTCATAAGAGGCATTTACAACATGTGAGGAATTAAATAAGAAGCACTGAGGTAGAGATATTGTACACAGATAAAGCATCATGACGGAGAACATGTGTATAATTAAAGCAAATAGCTCAGAAATGGCAAGAGTATCCCTATCAACTCTCAAACGAGTAGCACATAGCCTAGACATGATGTCTAACATGAATTATAATTCAAATAACCGAACAAGTAGGAAAAACACGGAAATAACAAGTTATGATAGTAAAACAATTTCGGTAAGAGGCTAAAAGCGACCTCGAATCATGAAGACGTCGGTGCACGTACACACGCCCATCACCTAGCGTGTACGTCACACCCCAATACCTTTCATAACGTAGTTCTCAAGGTTAAATGCCATCAAATCCAAGTTTAGAAATGTTACTTACCTCAAACGCGCAACTCAATACTCTAACAAGCCCTTGCCTCGCGAATCGGCCTTCGAACGACTCGAATCTAGTTACAAAGAACTCAGTATCAAAAATAATGCCGTAGGAAACAACTTCAAACAATAAAGTTTCGATATTTATCAAAATAGAAAAGCCAATCATGGGCCCGCACTCCGGAACCAGGAAAACTCACAAATTCCAAACACCTATTAAATAACGTGTTCAACCATACCAATTTCAACAAATTTCGATCATGATTCGACCTTCAAATCCTCATATTTCACTGAAGAAGTTTTTACAAAACTCTCACATTTGTTCACTTTAATTCACTACTTAAATGCTAAAACAAAGATGGAATAAGGGAATAATAACAAATCCGAGTCAAAAACACTTACCCCGATCCAAATCTTGAAAATCCCCTCCAAAATCGCCAAAAACCGAGCTCTTTACCTCAAAATGTGATATAACTCTAACCCTCGAAATGGGATTTAAACATTCTACCCAGGTGTTATACATCGTGATCGAGGGACCTACTTCGTGATCGTGAAGAACAAATAACCACTGCCCTAAAAAATAGTCTACGCGAATGCGAAGACACAGTCTCGAATGCGAAGGTCACCGGTCCTGACTCTTCGCGAACGCGTGCACACCTACGCGATCGCGTTACATCACTTGCGATCACGCTAACCTGAGCCTCTCCAAACATCGCGAACGCGATGAACAAATGAACTTTGGTTTCCTCTTCGCGAAAGAGGAAACCAAATGCAATGAAAATTAGCAGTCCAACAATGAAGGGAAATAGTTAGAACCCACCCGCAACACTGCCGAGGCCCCCGGGACCCCCACTAATCGCACCAACCAGTCCCAAAACACAATAAGAACTTGTTCGAAGCCCCAAATCACATAAAACAACACTAAAACCACAAATCACACATCGATTCAAGCCTAATGAACTAGTGAACTCCAAACTTCTAAAACTAATGCTGAATCATATCGAACCACCTTGACCTTAAATTTTGCAGGCAAGTCCCAAATGACACAAAGAACTTATTTCAGCTTCCGGATCCAAAATCCGAATCCGATATTTACAAAGTCAACTCTCGATCAAACCTCTCAACCTTCCAAACCTTCAACTTTTCGACTTCCACCAAAAAAACGTCAAACCAATCTACGGACCTCCAAATCAATATCCGGACATACGCATAGGTCCAAAATCATCATATGAAGCAATCTGAACCATCAAAACTCCATTTCGGAGTCGTCTACACAAAAGTCAAACTCCGATAAACTCTTCCAACTTAAGCTTCCAACCTTAGGACTAAGTGTCCCAGTTCACTAGAAAACATCTCCGGAATCAAATCAACCCCATGGCAAGTCACATAACCAAAAATGAACATAGAAGAAGCAGTAAATAGGGGATCGGGGCCGCAATACACAAAACGATCGGTTGGTTCGTTACATTCTCCCCCTCTTAAGCAAACGGTCATCCTCGAAAGGTTCTAGAATCATACTTGAAGTCTCAAATAGGTGTGTATATGCTCTGCATCTCCCGCTTGTCCTCCCAAGTAGCCTCCTCGACCGGCTGAACTCTTCATTGCACCTTCACTGATGCTATATTCTTTGACCTCCACTTCCGAACTTGCCGGTCAAAAATGGCCACCGGCTCCATATCATAAGTCAAATCCCCATCTAATTGAACCGTATTGAAGTTCAAAACATGTGACGGATCACCATAATACTTCCAGAACATAGAAACATGAACTATTGGGTGAACACCTGATAGACTAGGTGGAAAGGCAAGTCTGTGTGCCACTTCTCCAATCCTCTCAAGCACTTTAAAAAGAATAATATATTGATGGCTCAACTTGTCCTTCTTCCCGAACATCATCACACTCTTCCTGGATGAAACTCCGAGCAAAACTTTCTCACCCATCATATATGCAACATCACGAACCTTTCTATCAGCATAACTCTTCTGTCGTTGTATGAAACCGCTCCTGAATCACCTTTACCTTCTCTAAGGCATCACAGACCAAATAAGTATCCAATAATCTAGCCTCCTCAGGCTCAAACCAACCAACTAGAGAATGACATCTCCTCCTATACAAAGCCTCATAATGAGCCATCTGAATACTCGACTGGAAGTTGTTGCTGTAGGAGAACTCTGCTAATGGAAGAAACTTATCCCATGAACACCCGAAATCCATACCACAGGCGCGTAACATATCCTCTAAGATCTGAATAGTGTACGGACTGCCTGTCCATTTGAGGATGGAATGCTATAATCAACTCAACCCGTCTGCCCAACTCTCGCTTCACTGCTCTCTAAAGTTGTGATATGAACTGCATGCCTAGTTCAGAAATCTCACAGATGTAAATATGAGCCAACCGCTCTGTAGAATAGGAAATCACCACCAGAATGAAGTGTGCAGACTTAGTCACCCGGTCCACAATAACCATACTGCATCATACTTCTTCAACGTACGTGGGAGCCCGACAACAAAATCCATGGTGATATGCTCCCACTTCCAATCCGGTATCTCCAATCTCTGAATCAAACCTCCCGATATCTAATGTTCATACTTCACCTATTCACAATTTAAACACTAAGATACATATGCAATGATATCTTTCTTCATTCTCCGCCACCAATAGTGTTGTTTCAAGTCATGATACATCTTCGTGACACCTGGGTGAATGGAATAGCGCGAGCTGTGAGATTCCTCAAGGATAAAATCGGTCAATCCATCAATATTTAGAACACAAACTCGACCAGTCAGCTGCATAACACCATTATCACCCATCACATCCTCCTTAGCACCACTCCGCTGCACCGTATCCTTCAACACCAACAAGTGAGGATTATCATACTAGTAAGCCTTGATACGCTCTAACAACAATGATTTTGCCACAATACAAGCAATAACACAACTAGGCTCCGACACATCCAATCTCACAAAATGATTAGCCAAGGCCTGAACATCTATGGCTAGTGGCCTCTCTGCTACCGGTAAATATGCCAAACTGCCCATACTCTCCGCCTTCCTACTCAATGCATCAGCCACCACGCTGGCCTTCCCCGGTGATATAATATAGTGATATCATAGTCTTTCAACAGCTCTAACCACCTCTACTGCCGCAAATTAAGGTCTTTCTATTTGAACAGATGCTGGAGACTTCGATGATCGGTATAGACCTCACAATGAACACTGTACAGATAATGCCTCCAAATATTCAATGTGTGAACAATAGCTTCCAACTCTAAGTCATGCATAGGGTAATTCTTCTCATGAACCTACAACTACCGAGACTCGTAAGCAATCACCCTACTATCCTGCATCAACACCACGCCAAGCCTAATACCCAATGCATCGCAATACACTATGTAAGATCCCGAACCTCTAGGTAACACCGACACAGGGGTTGTAGTCAAAGCAGTCTTGAGATTTTGAATTCTCTCCTCACACTCCTTAGACCATCTGAAAGGAGCATCCTTCTAGGTTAATCTGGTCAAATGTGCAGCAATGGATGAGAAACCCTCCATAAAATAACGATAATAACCTGCCAAACCAAGAAAGCTTCGAATCTCAGTAGATGAAGATGGTCTAGGACAACTCTGAACTGCCTCAATCTTCTTTGGATCCACCTTGATCCCCTCACTAGACACCACGTGGCCCAAGAACGCCATCGAATCAAGAATTTAGCATACAACTTCTTCTTCCTCAAAGTCCGGAGTACAATCCTCAGATGATCCTCATGATCCTCCTGGCTGCGAGAGTACACCAAGATGTCGTTAATGAACACGATGACGAACGAATCAAGATATGGCTGGAATACACTGTTCATGAAATGCATGACGATTGCTAGGGCATTAGTTAGCCCGAAAGACATCACTAGGAACTCGTAATGACCATAGGGGGTCCTGAATGTCATCTTCTGAATATCACAATTCCTAATCTTCAGCTGATGATATCCAGACCTCAAATCAATCTTAGAGAATACCCTAGCACCCTAAAGCTGATCAAATAACTTATCAATGCTCGGTAGAGGGTTCCTGTTCTTGACTGTAACTTTGTTTAACTGACGGTAACCAATACACATCCGCCTAGTACCATTCTTCTTCTTCACAAATAGAACGAGAGCACCCCAAGGCAACACATTAGGCCTGATGAAGCTCTTATCAAGCAACTCCTGAAGTTGTTCCTTTAATTCCTTTAACTCCGTTGGTGCCATAAGATATGGTGGATTAGAAATGGGCTGAGTGCCCAGCACTAAGTAAATGCCAAAATCGATGTCCCGATTCGGCGGCATGCCCGACAGATCTGCTGGGGAATACAGTTAGGAAATTTCTCACTAATGGAACACAACGGTAGGAGTATCAGCACCAACATCCCTCACGAAGGCCAAATATGCTAAATATCCCTTCTCAACAATCCGTCAATCCTTCAAATGTAAAATCACTCTATTGGGAACATAATCCAAAGAACTTTTCCACCCCAACCTCGGCACCCCCGACATCACCAACGTAATAGTCTTAGCGTGACAATCCAAAATAGCATGACACGGTGACAGTCAATCCATGCCTAAAATCATGTCAAAATAAACTATGCTAATTAGTAAAAGATCAACTCTCATCTCTAATCCCCCAATAGTCACCACACATGATTGATATATTGGGTCCACAATAATAGAATTACCTACCGACGTAGATACTTGAACATGTGTAACTAAAGAATCACGGGACATATCCAAATAATGAGCAAAGTATGATGATATATATGAATAAGTGGAACTAGGATAAAATAATACCGAAGCATCCCCATGGAATACTGAAACTATAACTGTGATCACTGTGTTTGTACCAATTGCCTCTGGCCTAGCGAAAAAGCATAGCATCGAGCCTGACCACCACCTGTATGACCTCCCCCTCTAGGGCAACCTTGACCCGTACGACCTCCACCCCGAGCTGGTTCTGCGGGTGGTATAGCAACTGGTTCAGGGGTCATAGACTGGGCTCCCTACTGCACTCGAAATCTAGGTTAAAACCTCCTGAAGTCCAGGGATAACAATGGGCACTACGGGTGCCTGAGTTGGTCCCACTGGCTCAACAACATCTGGTACTTGCTCTTCAGCTGGAGCAACTGGTGGATCCAAAGGTGGTGCTCTAACTGTAGTGCGAGCCACACCTCGGCCTCTACCGCGGCCTCAGCCTCTCGCGGCCCTAACTGGTGGTACTGGTGGGCGTCCCCCTGATCCGGTTGCACGTGTCCTCACCATCTGTGAGAAAATATAACAGTCAAGTTTCAAACTTCAGAAATAACAAATTCGCACGATAAGAATGCAAGAAAATGAAGTTTCATAATAGTTCGGTAGCCTCTCGAAGATAAGTACAGACGTCTCCTTACCGATCCGTAATACTCTACTAAACTTGCTAATGACTCGTGAGACCTAAACAACCTAGTGCTCTAATACCAACTTGTCATGACCAAAATCTACTGATCGTGATGGTACCTAACTCCAACCTTCTAGGTAATCCAATAGTCACGTGATAACAATAAAATAGAATAAACATGGTTTAATAACTCAGCAACACAAAAATATCATGAAATATATGAGAATACAACCATAATACTACTACAAACATTCCCAAAATCTAGTGTCAACGAGTACACGAGCACTACTAAATAACAAGATACAAGCAAAATCTTGTAATACAACTATTTGAATCATCGGACAGTAAAGATAGAAATATCTTAAAGAGAATTTCAAGATCTGCGAATGACATAACAACTACCTCGTAGTCTCCAAAAAATCTAACAACAACTCAAGTCTGAAAATCATCTCGATCGGATATACGTGGATCTTCACATGAAGTGTAGAGTGTAGTATGAGTACAACCGACCCCATGTACTCAATAAGTAACAATACTAACCTTGAGATGAAAACAATGACGAGCTTAGAAAAAAGTCTGAAGCCAACATCAATAACCAGTAACAGTTTAGAATATAAAGGGAAAACCAGTAAACATGGGTAGCTCAAGAATATTATGTTCAACTTGTTCATATTACAGGAAATTAGGCATGCTTTCAAGTATAACGGTCAAAGCCCAACACAGGTAAAATATTTCATTTATCAATTAGCATGAGGAAAGTACATCTCTATGCCTACTTGTCAAGTATACATGTCAAACCAAAATATCACTGTGGATCCATCAAAATTTTAACACTTAGCATTGTACGGGTGCCTGGCATATCTGCCCATCATTAAGTACGTGTAAAAACACGATTTTGCCCATGTGCTAATCATAGTCATTTAGCCCAATAGTAAGGCCTGGTGTACGCATCCCCATAACAATAGTACTTAGCCCAATATGGGCCTGGCATATGCGTCACCTCAGAATCAATAGCAAACCGGCATGGCCCAAACTCAGTCATTTACCGCTGAATTCTCAGATAAACACATCTCATAATATTTAGTGTTACACATAAGAGGCATATACAATACGTAAGGAATCAAATAAGCAGCACTGATATGGAGATATTGTACACGGATATGGCATCTGACTAAGAACATGTCTATAATTAAGGCAAATAGTTCAGAAATGGCAAGAGTAGCCCTATCAAATCTCAAACGAGTAGCACGTAGCCTATACATGATGTCTAATATGAATTATAGTTCAAATAACCAAACAAGTAGGTAAAACATGGATATAACAAGGTATGATAGTTAGACAAGTTCGGTACTAGGCTAAAAGCGACATCGAATCATGAACATGTCGGTGCACGTACACACGCCCGTCACGTAGCGCGTACGTCACACCCCAATACCTCTCATAATGTAGTTCTCAAGGTTAAATATCCTCAAATTCAACTTTAGAAATGTTACTTACCTCAAACGCACAACTCAATACTCTAACAAGCTAACTAAGTTGTA